AATGCAAGTATCAGCTATTAAAAGAGAAAATAGATTAATGTTTGTATATCTTGTTGAAGTAACTGTCATTGTCAAGATACTTTAGCAAGGACTCAGGGTTTGCACTGGAGTGAATAGGAACGGGCTTCTTTTATTAGGGCATGCCTATAGCAGTTTGTCTCTTAAAAAGTAGCTTTTGTCCTTTTCCCCTTTCATTTATTTAGAACTGTGCCCATCAACTTGATTTTAGGATTCAGATTTTAATGCATTCCAGGTTAATTGTGGCTACAAAGAGTGATACAGTGGTCCTACGAAAGTCAGTGGCAAAACTCCCATTGAGTTCAGTCAGGCATCATTTCACCCCTTGGTTCATTGCGCCCAAACCCTAGCACGTGTATAGGAATAAAAATTGAGGAAAGCAGTTAATTTCCTAAAATGCTGTAAGTATTTTGATTGTGTTTATTTCTTGAAAGGGTTAAAGGCAAGGCACTAAGGGATGGAGCCAGGCTGGTCCCCTGGGCGCTGAGCTCTGCAGCTCCACACATGTCAGGTGTCTGCAGCTTCCAGCATCTTTCTCCCCCCCGAGCAGTGCAGAACAAAGGGCCCCTGTGCCCATCACATGGACTTCATTTAGTTTCTGTCCTTCAGGAGATGGATTGTGGTAGTACAGCTTGGTACGTGTGTTGGGTGGCTCAGTCTGAAGGTTTTTGTAAATGCATTGTCATCGTGGGTTTGCATGTTTGGGGAAGGCTGAGCATTAGGTGGATTTTCAAAGGAACTGTTGTCTTTGTGCTTGGGAGAAGTGGAGTAGCTGGACAAGAGACTTCTGTGTCCGCAGCTGAGGTAGCAGATGGCAGATGTGATGTGGGCCAGGATACTGAGACTGTGTCTGATTTGAAGCTTTGACACGCTCTGTGTTGCAGCCAGGGATCCACGGGAGCACATCCCAACCTCCTCAGGCTCAGGCACTTTGGGTCGGGTGAGGAGTGAGGACACCACTGTTCAGGGTCAGGGCAGCGTGCTCCCATGGAGCCAGGAGGTGAGAAGTGATCCCAGGTTCCCCTGGTTGGTGGGACCCAAAGAGCAGCAAGGCTTAGCCGAAATCCTTTGAAAATGCAAAATCAAGAACATCATCTGTTTGACCTCCTTAAGTACCACAGCTGTTAGCAAAAGATAGGGATGAAAGGCTTTAAGGTTTGTTGGTTTGGTTTTTTTTAAATACAAGAAAAGAGGAATTGGAAGTGATTGAAAACAAATGATGGCAAGCCAGGAGAGAGAAACAGGAGGAAAACATTTTCCTGTGGAGGAAAGGAACACATGCCACATCACCGTGTTTTTTAAATGCAAAGGTAGAGTCACAAATTATATTCACAGCTTCCGAAATGCATACCCACAGAGTTTCACCCATGGAAATCTTGCATCTCTTTGAGACTCCCATTTAAAAGCATAACGGAGTATAACCGATACACGTTGTAACTCGCTCTGAAGAAATCTGTCCCTCCCAATGACGCATGGTGGTTATTTACACCTTCCCGGCGTCTCAGAGGTTCTACCGGAGATGGCATTGCTCGGCACCAATGCAGGGCAGAGGAGAGAGGTTGTTCGCAGACGGGACATGCAATAGTGTCAGCACAATAACTTAGGATTATTTGTTACAATTATATTTCGGGGTTTTGGTGGCGAGTGTAACCTGGGAATCGTGACCAAATTGGAAGTGCCGAATGGGTCAGCGGCAAACCCCCTGGGTATTAAGGTACGGCAGGGATCGCGCGGCCAGCGCTGTGTGCCCTCTGGTGCAGAGCGGGATGTCTGTTGCAGGAGCAGAGCTGATGGGGCTTCACGTGTAATCGTACCAGCTTGACACGATTAGACAGCAGAATACAAATGCTCTACTAATGGCTTTATTATTGCAATCCTGCCTGCTCTTGAAAGAGTGCATTTGAAGTATCACTTCACATCACGTGTATTTGTGTCACTGCATATGGGATCTCTGTTTTGTCCTCACACGTTTCATCGGCTAGATTTTAGTTCACGTGGCATCCCATCCCTGCCCAGCCCCTGCTGGTTTTCTTACACAGAAATCACATCAGGTAAATGCCGCAGGAGGTTTTGACCACGGAAATGCAGTTGTGGTAAATTCCTGGTGTTAGGCCTCTACTGCTGTCTGCAGGTGGACTTTGCTCGTTCGGAGAGGTCTGAGGTTAACAGATTGTAATGCAGAGCATTGAGAGGTCACTGAGACAACGAGCAGGGATTTCCAAGCTCTTGGTCTCGTCCAGGCGAGGAGCAGAGGCTGCTTGCTGCAGGCAGGGTGAGCACTGAAAGGCTGGCAGTGCTCGTGTCGTGACCTGTGGGATTCACAGTGCTATCCTCTAACCCTGAGGAAGGGTTATTAATTAGAGCAAGGAAAAGAATCTTAAATCCCTAAAGCCACTCCGCTGTGCCTGCCCCAGCTGCCCTGCCGTGCTCGTGGAGGGGAGCAGGCAGCACCTGCACCGTCACCTCCCAGCCTCTCCCAACCTCGTCTTTCTCTCCAAAAGTCTAAAGAGCAGGAACAGGCACCCACCCAGCTCTTAATAAACTTATTAATAAATTTTACCTCCCTTAACACTGCCCAGTGAGATATCTCCTCCCCGGGCTGCAGGTTCCCTGCCTGCCGGCAGCCAGTTCTTGTGAAGTTTGGCGCTTCTCTCTCTCTTGGTTTTGCCTCCCCTCTGCGACAAGGGAGACTCTGATCATGCCTAAAGCGCACATTTCCCTCTTCAACTAATCGTCTCCTGCAGACGGCAGTATGTTTTGTCAGACAGCACAGGCAGAGTGTAGTTTTTCCTTCCCCCCCACAGAGCAGGGAAACTGATAAATACTCCCTCTCTCTACATCCATCTCCTGGCTGTCTTGGGGGAACGTGAAGGCTTTGCGGTGCCTAAAGAGGGATTGTTCTTCTCCCCCCGGCGCGTGCAGGGAAATGGCTGCAGGAGTCAGTAACTCTCTAACGATGACAGGCTGGCCGGGGCAGGACGGTGGCTTCGTGCCGGGCTCGGTGTGCTGCCGCATCTCGCCGAGCCTGCGGGCTCCCCGCTTGCTGATGCTGAGCACGGGTCCCGCTCAGCGGGTACTTTCTCTCTTTGCTCTTGCATACACCAGTTAGTGTTAATGAGCATGGCTGCACAGTTAATTAGTGGCATTTGTGGTACTGCTCGCTCAGTCTAGGAAACTTAGCCTCTATATGCACTTTGTACAGTACATAGATACCTATATATCATATAGTTAGGCCAAATACCACCGCCTCGGCATGCAGAAATCGTTAGCCCATAGCGAGCGATTGAGGTGCACTGTGATCTTTCGAAGAGCTTCGTGCGGGCCCAGCGGACGCTAGAAACGTCGCGCACCTCTCGCGCTCCCCCAAAAAGCTGCAGGGTGACCCCGCTCACTTGTGCAAGAAGGTAGTTGTACCAAACGTTATTGCTGTACGTATTTCATCCCTGGCATAGTAGTCCTAATAAATTTTGCACGTTCGTTCATGTTATTTGTGCACAGACCGTGAAAAAGAATTTGTGCTTAGTAATATGTGGGAAAAATGGTACTAATCATACTACTGCCTTTGCCCTCTTCGTTCCCCTCCCTTTCCCTTTCCTCTGCATGAAATGTGATGCTCTTACTAGTTCATGCCGTGCTTGCCCCCACCAGTCCCGACTTCTGTTTCCCTCTTTCCTTTCTTTTCTTCTTCACGTATTTTGCATTTTTCAGCTTCTCTTACTCTTTCCTCTCTGCTAAATCTATGCACAATGTATAGGCAGACCCACAGTTAAAATTAGTTTCTGACATTTTCTGTTCCTGAGGGGTTTTCTTTAGCAAGTTACCTTCTTTTTGTTTGATATGAATGTAATTATCTGATGGGGCATCAGTTTTGTTTTCAGACTGGTATCTCGATCTCCTTGTCCCCCCCCACCTCCAAAATGTTGCACATAAGGTTTCTTTATTTTTGTGGCCACAACATGCATTGTTGTAATCTGCTATTTTAAAATTAAGCTATCAATTATTAAACCTGTGGCTGAATTATTTTTTTTTTGGGGGGGGGGGGAGAGTAGTTGGGAGGAAGGCCATAGATTTACAGTTATTTTAGTGGTGAGAACTGAATGGCTCCACAGCAGCAAGGCCAAGGAGATTTTGGTGTGCGGAAAAAGAAATTTTAGGTGCGCTGTATTTTTCCAGGGCAGAGCATTGTGCTTCTTACAAAGCAGCAGAGAACACTGTATCTTCAAACCAGCTTCTGCAGACAAACTGGATTTAAAATAAATAACTTTTATTCATTACTGTAATAGAACTGTTGATGCATTCATTTGTTTAAACCTAAATGTACTATATTTCAGTGTGCTGCTTCTAACAACCTGAATATCTGGCACCTTTTAAAAATGTTTATCAAGCTTTTGGCTGTATTTTTCTCTCTACATAGATACCATAGTTCAGTTGAATACATGGTCATGTTTGATTAGGAGATGTGTTAGAGATAAGTCACTTGTTGGGAGAAAAGCATTTACGGTTTTTGTGTATAAAAATGAAATTTGTAGGACGCATGAAATTTCATTCTTTTATGGTAAATTACTCACAAGGATATGTTAGAACCAGATGTAAATGAGTGCTGATTTTAAGTTTGTACCTTCCGAAACACAAAAGGATGCAGTACCTACGGTCCTGGTGAATGACATGTGATAGATTATAGCGAGAGCAGTCAGAGCAAATGAAATTGTAATGGAGTTCCTCTTCTGGCTGCAGGAAATAGCTGTTATTTATCCTGCTTCGTAAGATGCTGCATGCATACTCCTGTTTATTATATACTTAAAAATCCCTTGGCAAGTCAATAATGAATAAATGAACTTAAAGCTATTACAACACCCTTAGCATAAAGAGTGTAAGCCAGAATATTTTTCAGCATACTCTTTCCTGAGTTTGGCTGAGGCGTTTCTGCAGAGGTGCTAACCTGGATAGTTCAAATGAACAGTTTTGATTCTTTCTCCTGGCAGGTGTACGAGGCAGTCCCATGCGACAGCGAGTGCAATCAGTATTCTTGGGTAGTAGAACCGTGGTCTCCGTGCAAAATCAACAGCGAACAAAATTCCCTCCACTGTGGAGAAGGAATACAAACGAGGAAAGTCAGGTGCGTGAAGACAAAAGCACAGGTACTCCAGATTAAAAAGACCTGATACATACTTGCATAAAGCTGCAATATCTGGCCATCTGACAGTGAGTACATTGCTGAGTCCAGTGTATTTCAAATTAAAAGAAACATGCATTTATGTGCAATGTTTTACAGGAAAAGCATCTCATAGGTGCAGCCTTGTGTTACGATCAAGACATCTTTCAGGAAGAAGGCATGATGTTTAAATTAGAATTCTTCAACCTAAATGCCATATATGCATAAAGCCCCCTGAGGTGCAAACCTCCATATTCTGATTTGCTAACATTTTCCCCAAGTAATGGCACTGCACACGCTGGAGTGGCGTTCATTATTAGTGAATATTCATTCCCCAGGCACGGGGAAATGCTGAGTTATTTCCAAATGTTCGGATGTTACTAGCAGAAGCACAAAGGTTTGTTCTTGCTGGTTGTCATTTTCTGTTCGCTCATCTGTCAGCCGATCAAAGTTAAAATCCCTCTGTATGAAGTTTGAAATGTTTATTGAAAGTAGTTACTGAAATCTGAGAGTAACAAAAGCGTGTCATGCATGTAGCTGGTTTTGATTTGCATTAAAATGATTAGTTCTGCTTTTTGACCAGCCGTGCTGCGTATAGCTATTGTGTTACATGTAGTGTCCTATATGGGGTCAAGCAGACCTGTTGATATCCATCACTTCTGTAGTACGCTGGTGATCCTCTAATGAAAATGTCTGTTTTCTGTGTAGGTGTGTGAGTACTGCTGAGGACCACGGAGGGGAGACTGTGCCCAACGCACTGTGTAATCAGGCTGAAATCCCAGATCTAACGCAGAAGTGTAGCTTGTACTGTCCCAGTGAGTGTGCGGTGTCTGACTGGGGACAGTGGAGCAAGTGTCCGCAGGTAGGCTCTCCTGCTTGTGTCTCTGTGGCAACGTTCCTCACACGTCGGTCTTCTCTGCCCTTCAACTGTTTCATGAGATAGTTAGTTTCTAACAAAGTAAAGTATTTTCTGAGGGAGGTCAGGTTTAATGGATCCTGCCAGCATGGTTGAATCTGGAGATACTTGTATTTCTATAGAGGCTGAGCTATAGAAAGTTAGTTAGTAAAACACAGAGTTATTACTGTGACAGTTGATTCAACACATCCTTCTGCTTGGTCTATGGGAGAGGACCCACAAGCAGAGTGGGTGAAGGGACTGGTATTCTAGCTGCAGTAAGGGCTGTCTGTGTTAGGAAATATTTGCAAGGGAGAGCTCTGTGAGTGATACACGACTGCCATAACAACCTGCCGGTAAACCGTGGTGGTGGCACTCCTCCGGACAGGTCTTAGGCCTGAGGGAATGACAGCTCTCCCTTCCCAACAGACGCTATTTCTGTCCAGCGTCTCCTCCTCCTCAAAACCTTGAGGGAAGATTTGAGGCAACAGCAACAGAAGGGCATGGCAGCAAGATGCCTGAACAATTTGTCATGTCATGAAATACTCAAAACTTTGTGAATTATGCAGGGATTCAAGCCACTGCCAAGTGCTCTGTGTTTTCCTAAGTGTGCAAGATGGAAAGAAGCTGCAAATTCTGTCTTGTGAAAACTCTCTGGCCTCAAAGCATGTCATTTCAAACCTATTGTTTCTCTCTGATCGGTGTTGAAATAGGTGCCAGGTTTAATCTCAGGGTTTTTTTAATAGACTTGCTTGATGTATTTAAGTGACAAACATATATTCATTGCCCCAGTGTTAACAGGGCCATTATCAAAAGTCTCAGTGGTTATTGGACAGGTATTTATACTACTGCTGACACAGGTAATTTCCTTCCGTAATATTTTGTGTAGCATATCAATATACTCAGTAAGAACATGTCAAATAAAATCTTGTGTTTCATTTCCTGCATTTGCCTCCTCCTGAGCAGCATAGCTTTGATGAAGTATAATGCTCTTGCAACCGATACAGACGCTTGGATACCTTTCAAAGTCCCACTGTGGTTGGGCTGTTTCTTTGCCGTTGACTTTTTTTTCAGAGATAGATTTTCCTCCTTTTAGCATGCGCTAAACTAATGCAGAGATCCTCAAGGCCGTTGGGTATTTTTCAGGTGCCTTGGTGGCAGTCAGTTGGTTACGAAGGACTGCTTGAAGCTTTAAGCACCCTAGTATCCTTAAGACACCCTGAAGGCTCCTCTTTGGCAATGGTGAAGCCCCTGTAGCCCACAGAAGCAGGAAAGGGATGCCCAGAGCTCATGGGCTGCACTCCATCAGGCAGCGTAGCTCTTGGCAGTCACAGGGCCGAGAGCCACAGTCCCTGTGTCTGCTTGTACATCCTTTTGCCATGGTAGATGTTAATTCATAAATGTGAGGGCATCTGTATGCCAATGCAATTAACTGAACAATATGTTTTCACAAGCTGTTCTGCAATGCTTTGTTGTGAAACTGAGATGACTGTGTGCTGATGGAGCATGTGTTTAAATAGTTCTGTCCAGATACGAGGCAATAAACAGCTTGAAGTTTTATGGACAGATAAAACCCTCCTTTTGATGAGTTTACAGCAGTGCTGTCTCCCTTTTATAGCTACTCCAGTGTGCTGGTTTTGGCTGGGGTAGAGTTAATTTTCTTCAGAGTAGCTAGTATGGGGTTCTGTTTTGGATTTGTGATGAAAACTGTTGATAATTCAGGGATGTTTTCATTACTGCTGAGCAGTGCTTACACAGAGTCAAGGCCTTTTCTGCTTCTCACCCCCACCCCACCAGCGAGGAGGCTGGGGGGGCACAAGAATTTGGGAGGGGACACAGCCGGGACAGCTGACCCCAACTGACCCAAGGGATATCCCAGACCATAGGACGTCATGCTCAGCACATAAAGCTGGGGGAAGAAGGAGGAAGGGGAGACGTTTGGAGTGATGGCGTTTGTCTTCCCAAGTAACCATTTCATGTGACAGAGCCCTGCTGTCCTGGAGATGGCTGAACACCTGCCTGCCCATGGGAAGTGCTGAATGAATTCCTGGTTTCACTTTGCTTGCATGGACGGCTTTTGCTTTCCCTATTAAACTGTCTTTATCTCAGCCCATGAGTTTTCTCACTTTTACCCTTCTGATTCCCTCCCTGATCCCATGGGGAGGGCAGTGAACGAGTGGCTGGGGGGTGGGTAGTTGCCAGCTGGGGGTAAACCACGACATCTGGCTATTTGTGTTTAGTTTTGAGAGAGGACCACACAGCACAGTGCCTCCCAGGCTGCACATGCTTAACATCTCCAAGCCAAGCGCTGGGCTTGCTGCAAGTGCAGAATGGCTGTACCATGACGGTGGTGTATCTTCAGTATATGTGGGGGTACTGGTGTGATGGGGCAGGGATTGAGGGAAAAGCGGTGGCCAGGAGCGAGTCATTGCCAGCACCAGGGTAATTAAGGCAACCCTCCATCTCCTGAGTTGCCACTAGGAAAAGTGGTCACTGAGAATGGCCACAAGCTGGTGGACATTGTCAATGAAGTTACAAAGGCAATGAAGCCTATGGAGGATCCCGTTTTGTCTGTAAGGGAAGAGCTACGTATGGTCAGTTGAATAGCTCCACTGGTTGCAAGTGAGAGCTTGGGTCTGGACCTTGCATGGAGACCCTACATATAGACACCCAAATATAGGAGTCTGCATCTCATGTTAAGTCTTTTGGTCAGACCTGTTGTGCCTCCAGCCTTGCATTTAATGTCTTCCCATGGAGCCCAAAAACCACATCGGTAAGTTTGCGTGCATAGAACCTCTTGCTCATTAGAGCTGTCTACTTAATTGCGTTTGAGGGAATTTTGCTCAATAGCTGGTGTACTCATGCATGATTTCTGATTCATGCCAAACTGGAAATAAATGCCTGTCTTCTGAGGATGTATGAAATGCTTTTTGAATATTCACCAAAACCCCGTTTTCTAAGTATGGCTCCTTTCTCTTCCCTAAGTAATCAGAAAAATTTGAAGGATCACATCATATTGCAATGAAAAAGCAAAACCGTACATCCTGGCTGCAATTTTTCAAGCCCATTTACGTTTCATATCAAAATAGTTGGCACTTTTAATTGTAGCACGCTTGTGAGGCAGCTGCCAAAGAGGATTCCAGGAAATCTTCCTGTATCTCTGGTCATGTTTGGCTTGCTGGAGATAAAGAGGATTTATGAAACTTGACAAATTCTAGTTTGTAAGAAATGAACAATCACAATTTCAGCCTCATCTTTGCCTGAGTAGCTCTTCTATTTGAGATATTTACCTAAGCTTTTGGTCAGGTGAGAATTCTTTTCCAGTTCCTTTGGTGTTCTGCTCATATTTTATAGTGTTGTTAATAAATTCATCCTGATAGCAGAATAACTAACTCTTATCAGCTGAATATAAAAAGGCCTTTTAGGTTATCCAGTGTACCTTTTGTCAATATGTCATTGTACTCTGGATACTTTCTAGGGTATTACTCGGTTTTATCTTGTAGCAGTACTCTCCCTATGTGAATTTTGCACTTTCAGGATAGTAAATGATCTTGAATCATGTTGAAATCAATGAGTCATAAAGGTGGCGACTGCTTTGTCAATAGGAAGTATTTTCTTCAATACTTCTTTCTTCCAAAACATTGTATTTGTTCTACTTTTTTGGCTGCATTTCCCTTTTGCTTTTACATATTTGTGTTTCTAGGGTGGTCTTTTGTAATTTCAGATGATCCCACAATTCTTTAATGTGTATTTTCCAACTGAATTGCAATTCTTGCATCTTGATTATAGTGCTATTTAACCCTGCTACACAAAGCTGAATTTTAATATTTCCTCTAATGACACTTTGCCGTGACCTAGAAATGCAGCTGCCGAGGTTACTTTTGAGGTTTTGTCTCTTTACTGGATTCAAGAAACTCATAATTACTGATTTAAAGCTTCCCTGTTTTTCTCACATTCTCTATTGTGAGACGTAAATTCAAAATGGTTTTCCCTCTGATTGAAGACTATTTTTTGGCTCATAAAGTTTTCTTCTTTGTCGCTAAGTAACATCCACGTAACTTGAATATCAAGGCTTTAAAGCCATTTAAAATAACAGTTTGAAGCTTGCTAGTTAGAAAAAAAAAATCATAAGCAAATTAGATTGACTTGCGTTTTGCTTCAGAGATTTCGTATTCGTTCCAGCTACAATAGCGTGTTCAGTCAGACATCATCACTTGATTGCTCAAAGACCCAGCTAAACAATCTGGAAACCAAAATCCTATCATCTCTGTTACATATTCAGTGATCGAATAACATGCACTTCCTGCAGTGTCTCGACTTTGTATTCATCTGACTTGGAAATGTAATTAATTGACTTCAATTGAATTCATCAAAGCATTCTTAAAAAGAGTTAATATGCGAGTTGTGCTACAAGTCCCTGAAATAATTACCTCAAATTTATTTTGTTACCTCTCTTGTCGTGTGGATAGCTGTCACAGCCCCCGTAGCCGCTCGGAGTGGCCTCCTTGTTTGCCTCAGCTGTTGGCATTTCTAGCAGCTAATTCCAAGAGGTCTGAAATTGGTTCATTTAGGAGGTTACATATCTAGTGAGTGAGAACAGCTGTCTCTGTTTCAGCGAGCATTTTCCTCATGGATCAATAGCGATGTATAATGCTCAGGACTTGCGACAATGGAGTTATTACTCTCTTGATTCTGCGGGGGGAGTGTAATGTTGTAACAACTGATCATATTAGAAGTGGCACCAGGCAGTACAGCCAGCTCTCAGGTTTTGCAGTGACTTTCATCGTAGATGTGAGTCGGAGTCATTGCAGTTTGGAAATGCCAACTGGAAGAGAAGTTGGGGACTCTTGTAGACGCTGGGGCTCACTGCATGCATTACCAAAGTCTTCATCACAACTAGTACCTTCATACGTAGGTTTGGCAGAGGACCTGCAGTGTGGAGGCTGGATTGAAGAATGAAGTTTGCA